TTTTTTTTTTTTTTTTTTTGGCCACACCACTGCATGGCATGCAGGATCCTATTCCCGGACCAGGGAATCCTATTCCCAGACCAGGGATCGAACCTGTGCCCCCTGTGGTGGAAGTGTGGAGTCTCAACCACTGGACCACCACGGAAGTCCCTCCTTTCAATATTTAGATTAAACTATTCTTTACCTCCACCCTGCCTATTAGGATGTTTTTCCGTCTCCAGGATCCTTCTTCCACGATGACAGTTAACAGTTCTGTAGTATTTACTTTGGGCCAGTCATTCTTCTAAGTGCTTTTTTACATATATTAGCTCATAATAACTCCAGACTCCTCAGGGAAGCTTTTTAAGTGTAATGGGTTAGTACTTGTCATTATTATCTTGAGGAGAGCAAAATCTGAAAGTCTGCTCAGTCTGCCAGAGATTCCTCGGTGTGTGTTTTGTGTGTGTGTGTGTGTGTGTGTGTGTGTGTGTGTTGACTGTTGTTGCCCTTAATCAACTATGGATTGCTGGTGAATCTCAGGTTGCCTAATGATTTTGATCCTTGTCTACTGATAAGTGACCCATTGAACACCAGTCAAGGAGAGTATCATATCCTCTTGGACAGTGATTGGTTAAGAGGTGGACACATGGCCCAAGCTGGGCCAATCAGAGCCAAAGATGCTTACTTCTGGGACTTGGATGGAAATACAGAGAATGAAGTCTCTGTGTTTCCACCGTGGCTCCCAAGCTTGTAGACTATAGGCCTGTTGACTGCAGTGCGCTCCACTTAGAGAAACCCTAACAGAGACTAAAGCCAACATGGAGGAAAGCAAAGCTGGGTCGTGGAGGGAGAGAGAGAGACTGAGACCTGATGATACTGTTTGAACCCCTTGATCCAGCCACATGACTGCTCCTGACTTTTCAAATTACAGGAACGAATCAATGTCATCCATGTCTTTTCCTTTTTTATCTTTTTGGCCGCACCACGCAGCATGTGGGATCTTAGTTCCCCGACCATGGATCAAACCCATGCCCCCTGCAGTGGAAGCATGGAGTCCTAAACACTGGACCGCCAGGGAAGTCCTGTCATTTCCTTTTTTTTGGCTGCGTTGGGTCTTTGTTGCTGCACGCGGGCTTTCTCTACTTGTGGCAACCGGGGGCTGGCTACTCTTTGTTGTGGTGCATGGGCTCTAGGGCGTGGGCTTCAGTAGTTGTGGCGCATGGGCTTAGTTGCTCCGTGGCATGTGGGATCTTCGCGGACCAGGGCTCGAACCTGTGTCCCCTGCACTGGCAGGCGGATTCTTAACCGCTGTGCCACCAGGGAAGTCACAAAGAGAGATTTTTCTTTTTTAAAAACCACTTTGAACTGACTTTCTGTTACATGGATATAAAGAATCCTGGAAAATGCAAGGGGTAAGACAGTGACACAGTCTGTAGGCTGGAGCACCTGGGTGCCTGTGATCTGGGTCTAAGAGATAGTGACTTAAAACAGTGTGCCAGCCTGTGAGCGGTGTTCTCCCCAGGCAGCCCAGGATCTGTGTGAGTTTGGATGTGGATTTCTCACTATCTTCCTAGGGTCCTTTTCCAGATGGTACTCTTTTCTTAATTGCTGGGACCTTCTCCTCTCAGGGGCGGGAGCCTGGCATCTCCTGGCCTTTTCCCTATTTCTAGAACCTCTCTGGGTGAGTCTGTTAGTTTAAAAGCCACTGCATTTGGGTATGGGAAGACTGCCCAGTGACTGGCCTTATATTTTCACTTTGGCTCACTATTTAATATTTCTTTTTTCCCCCTTATATATAACTGGAAGTAGAAATTTTTTTTTTTTTTCTGGACAACTGTGGTGGGTTTTTTGTTTTTTGTTTTTGGAGGGGGCGTGGCGGTGGTGAGGTTTTGCCCTGGTGCCTGCCTGCTAAGCTTAGGAGGGGTGGCAAGGCAGTTCTGTCCACCAGCTGTCCTAGAGGAACTACTTTAAAGTAGGTCTTCTTACAAATGAACATATCTACGAAACAGAAATAGACTACAGACATAGAGAACAGACTTGTGGCTGCCAAGGGGGAGGGGGCGTGGGGGAGAGAAGGATTAGGAGTTTGGGGTTAACAGATGCAAACTAGTATATATAGGATGGATAAACAACAAGGCCCTACTGCATAGCACAGGGAACTATATTCAATATCCTGTAATTAAACCGTAATGGAAAAGAATATATGTATGTTTAACTGAATCACTTTGCTGTACAGCAGAAATTAACACAACATTGTAAATCAACCATACTTCAATAAAAAAAAGAGTAGGTCTCCTTTTTTGGGATGTGGCCTCTCCCATTCCAATTGTATTTGTTCACAGATAATATTCCAAATCTTTTCATCACTAGGTAGAGAGCACCTGTCCACTGGCCAACTAGTTTATGTTAATTTCATAGTAATATTTGTTATCTTTCCCATAGTTCCTGGCATCTGGAAACATTTTTGTGGGCAGTGACAATAGTTAACCAGTATGTTTTGGGGGGTGTATTTTGAGTGTGGTTTTCTAAATCTCACACAAATCCACTCTAAAGCACTAATCTGTGAGCAGTTTTGTGGTCTCCACCCAACATCAAAAAGTGGCATGTAAAGCCGGTAACATCATGAAGGTTTCACTGATTCATGTTCCAAAAATGTCACAACTCCTGCTCAGGCCACAGCGTCAACACTATATGTGTATTCAGTGATTTATTTTATAAAGGAGTAAGTCCTTTTTTTTTTTTTTTTTTTTTTGCGGTACACGGGCCTCTCACTGTTGTGGCCTCTCCCGTTGCGGAGCAGAGGCTCCGGACACGCAGGCTCAGTGGCCATGGCTCATGGGTCCAGCCGCTCCACGGCATGTGGGATCTTCCCAGACCGGGGCACAAACCCGTGTCCCCTGCATCGGCAGGCGGACTCTCAACCACTGCGCCACCAGGGAAGCCCTCTTTCTTTTTTAAAAATATTTATTTACTTATTTTTGGCTGCGTTGGGTCTTTGTTGCGGTGTGCGGGCTTTTCATTGCGGTGGCTTCTCTTGTTGTGGAGCGCGGGCTGTAGGCGCACGGGCTTCAGTAGTTGTGGCACGCGGGCTCAGTAGTTGTGGCTCTTGGGCTCTAGAGCGCAGGCTCAGTAGTTGTGGTGCACGGGCTTAGTTGCTCCACGGCAAGTGGGATCTTCCCAGACCAGGGCTCGAACCCTTGTCCCCTGTATTGGTAGGCGATTCTTAACCACTGCGCCACCAGGGAAGCCCCTCCTCATTTATTTCTTTAATGTTTTTGTCCCTTGCATCAGATGTTACGGTCTTTAAGATTATGCCCTGAGGCAGTTTTAGAAGATACCCAGAAATTCTGTGAGACTATCCTTTGGAAGGTGCGGGTCTATGTCTTTCCCTTGCCCCAAACCTCGGCGGGTTTGTAACTCCCTTGTAATCAATAGAGTGTGATGGAAATGACGAATGTGTGAATCCTGAGGCCAAGAATAAATGCTTGCAGCTTCTACCTTGTTTGCCAAACACTTGGTTTTGGAGCCCTGAGCTGTAAGGTAAGAAGTCTGAGCCCAGGCCATAGTGAGAGGTTACGTGTAGGTGCTACGATCAATAGCTCCAAGCGGAGGTCTCAGCAGACAGTCAGCCTTATACACCAGACATGGAAGTAAAGGCGCCTCCATGTGAATCCAGCCTCCAGCAGTCAGGCCTTCCAGCCCTGGAGCCTTCCCAGCTGAGGCCCCAGGGGTCATGCAGCGGAAATGGGCCTTTTCTGCTGGCCCCGTCTGGATCTCTGACCCACAGAATCTGGGAGCAAAAGAAAATGTTTGTTTTAAGCCTTTACGTTTTGGGTTAACTTGTTATATATATACATACATACATATACACATCTTTATATTCATATTTATTCGATTTATTTATTTTTATTGAAGTATAGTAAATTTACAATTCTGTGTTAGTTTCAAGTATACAGCAAAGTGATTCAGTTATATATATATTTTTTTTCAGGTTCTTCTTCATTGTAAGTTATTATAAGATATTGAGTATAGGGAACTCCCTGGCGGTCCAGTGTTTAGGACCCTGTGCTCTCACTGCCAAGGACCCAGGTTCGATCCCTGGTCAAAGATCTCACAAGCCACGTGGTGTGGCCAAAAAAAACCAAAACAAAACTGAGTATAGTTCCCTTGGGTTAACTTGTTATAAAGCAATAGTAATCAGAACACAGTCCTAAACTGAGTCTTCCACCCTTCTCTGTACAACTAAAAGTTTGGAGGGCAGTGATGGAGAACTCATGGTCCCTGTAGGCCCACTGGCTCCCAAGAAGAAAAAAATGGTGGAGCTGAGTCAAGGGTTCCCTTTTAATCTTCCCATAATTACCAATGAGATATGTCATTTTTGCATGGATTAACTTTCTTCCTCATCAAAGAAATATCAGGAGAAGGGGACAAGTGTTCACCTCTGTCAAGAAGGGTGTTTTAGGGGCTTCCCTGGTGGCGCAGTGGTTGAGAATCTGCCTGTCAATGCAGGGGACACGGGTTCGAGCCCTGGTCCGGGAAGATCCCACATGCCGCGGAGCAACTAAGCCCGTGCGCCACAACTACTGAGCCTGCGCGTCTGGAGCCTGTGCTCTGCAACAAGAGAGGCCGCGATAGTGAGAGGCCCGCGCACTGCGATGAAGAGTGGCCCCCGCTTGCCGCAACTAGAGAAAGCCCGTGCGCAGCAACGAAGACCCAACGCAGCTAAAAATAAATAAAATTAATTAATTAATTTAAAAAATAAAGAGGGGTGTTTTAAAGGGTTTATTCTGCATCTCCTCTCCCCCTAAATTATTTCAGTTGACTATTTCTTTTTGTTATAGTGTCGTAATATAAATTATAGTAAAGTTAAAAGAATGAGTTATAATACATTTATGTTATATAATTATATACAATATATATAATTAAGATGTTATAATAAAAATGTTATAATAAAAAGTAAAAATTCTCGTATTTGTTTTCTCTTCAAATGTCTTATGTTTCTTGGCTATCTCTTCACACAGGTGTGCAGCATTATAACTCTGACCGGAAGCTCTGAGTACGTGGGCAGGGTTGTGGACACATGGACCTCACACAGGGAAACTGGTAAGTGAAAGGGCTCTGTTATTGGGAATACCCTTAAGTGTTAGAGCAGGGAGGGCTTTCCTCTGAAGCAGTTTCCTTCTGCAGAAAGTGCCCCGTCTCCTGCTTTGTTATGAGCTGCTCACAATTCGAGGAGCTGGTTGGGGAAGGACTGGGATCCCCACCGTTCAGTGTTAAGTTTCACTTAATCTCCCTATGTTCAGTCCCATCCCTCACCCCACTTCCTCTACTCTACCTGGTCTCCCCAAATCTGGAGCATCTCATTTCTTCATAAGGTAAACTTCCCGTCTCTTATACAGAAGGTGCCAGCCTGCAAATATGGAACATGAGGGAAGGTAGTAGTGGTCTGATCCCTCAGTAACACATGTCCAAGCACCTCCTAATTTTAGCCTCATGTCTCACCTGCTGTTTTTGTGGTACCTAGAGTCTCCAAGGGCTGAGCCTTTCCAGGTTCTGTGAGGTTTAATTGGCTCCTTTCCCAGTGGGCACCCCTATTCAGGGTTAGGAAGATTAAATTGCCCAAAGTTATACATCTAATCATGGAATTTAGACTCCATCTCAGGTTTGTCCATCTTCAAACCTCTGTATTTCTTATTTTATAAAGCTAGAGAAAAGCCTGATAAGCCTGAGAAAATAGAATACCAGAAGAACCAATTTCAGAATATAGATGCAGGATTCCTAAATGTTAACAAACTGAATCTAGCACAATATTGAAAAATCTATACAAGGCAGGCAACTCAGTAAAGAAATGCAGAGTAAAATGAGATATCACTTTTGTGTGTATGTGATTAACTTAGCAGAGATTTTAAGAAAGATCCTACCCACTGTAGGCAGTGGATGGAGGAAACAGGCATTCCCATATGTTTCTGGTGTGAGAATAAATTGGCATCACCTTTCAAGGGGTCACTTTTACTATATGTAACAAAGTCTTAATATCCTCCATAACTTTTGGCCCAGAAGTTCCAGTTCTAGGAATTTATTTTCAGGAAACAATCATGATAGGCACAAACATTTAGCTATGAGGGTATTAATATCAATGTTATCTATAATATTGAAAAATGAATAACAATGTATCTGTTCACCACTATGGGCTTGATAAAAATAAACTATAATACCAAACAAAATAATGTTGGAGAATAGTTTTAATCATATGAAAATATGATAACGATACATTAAGTGAAATACATAGGTTCAGAATGGTATGTTCTCATTGTATTGCAATTTGTCTTTGCAAGTGATGAAAACTGAACTAAAAGTGGCTGAAGAGAAAGAAAAGGAATGTACTGATTCATAGTACTAGAAAGTCAGGGCGTGTAATACATCAGGCAAGTTGGGTCCAGGCACTCATGGATCATCACGAGAAATCTATTTCCATCTCTTAATTTGTATTTTGTGTTGGTTTTACTTTCACATAGACTCTCCATGAGAGCTGTTAAAGAGGGTGTATTAGTCAGTGTCTTCCAGAGAAACAGAGCCAAGGGGACCCGGAAAGCTGATGGTGTAGATTCTAGGCTGAGTCTGAGGCCTGAGAACCAGGAGTGCTGAGAGTAAAAGATTGATGTCCAAACTCAAGTTGTCAGGTAGAGAGTGGACTCAGCCTTCCTCCACCTTTTTGTTCTGTTCAGCTCTCAATGGATTTGATAGGTCCACCCACGCTGGGGAGGGCTGTCTTCTTTACTCAGTCCACTAATTCAAATGCTAATCTCTTCTTGGAACACCTTCAGGCACACCCAGAAATAATTTTTAGCCAGTTATCTGGGCACCCCTGTTGCCCAGTCAAGTTGACACATAAAATTAACCATCACAAGTCCACCCCCTGTCAAGTTGACACTCATACATATCTCCTTAAACCATACTAATCTCCAAGTAAAGAATAACAAAGGTTGGGCTTCCTGGTGGCGCAGTGGTTGAGAGTCCCCCTGCCGCTGCAGGGGACGCGGGTTCGTGCCCCGGTCCGGGAATATCCCACATGCCGCGGAGCGGCTGGGCCCGTGAGCCATGGCCGCTGAGCCTGCACGTCCGGAGCCTGTGCTCCGCAACGGAAGAGGTCACAACAGTGAGAGGCCCGCGTACCGCAAAAAAAACAAAAAAAACACAAAGGCTTAATTCCACCTGACACAACACAACTGTCCATACAACTGAAAATGCACTAGCCCCTTCCTCAGAAGGGGAGGTAAAGTCCTTCAGTGATGTTTACTGTCCTTGTTACCCTCTAACTTAAACAGTATGATGTAGAATTAACAATACTTAAATATTATGATTTAAAGTCAATACATCTTATGTTGCATGATAAGGAAATAAGAGAGGAAAGAAGACAAAGATACTCCCACACAATCATAACAAAATAAGGAGGAAATCCTCTATGACAGTTACAATCCTCATTTCTCTAACTGGCCACGTGGCTGGTATTTATAACTACTTTCTCCCGCTACCCATTCCGTATTCCCTTTGCCTTCAAGAAGCACCTGAGATGGTCATCATCATTCTTTACTTGTAGGATGACCAAACCTTCATTTCTGAAGGGTCTGCACCATTAGTAGTCATGCCTGGGTTGGATTGTACTTTTCCATTGACCTTAATCTTAGGACACAGTAATACTAAGAGATGTCTAAGGGATCTCCTGTATTCCACACATATTCTTCCTTACCTCCATCGTGGATAGTCCAATTTCCTCTTGGCAGCCAGGATCAATCACTCCAGCTAGCATAGTAACTCCCTTCTTTGCCTGTTGATTCAGTCATGAGATGCCCAAAGTGGCCGGGTGGCTCTCTTAACTTCCAGCTCATTGGAATCATTGTTATATCTCTTAGTGGAAGCATTCCTCCTTCTGGAACTAAGACCTGTAGGCCAGCAGAGCATAAGGTCACAGGAAAAGGAAGCTAAAACTTTGCTAGTGGGTCATTAGGGGTTAGAGTGAGTGGTACCACTCCCATTTCCACCCCAATTCCTGGATCCGTGAATCCTGGCTATGGGAGAAACAGCACTGTATATTGGACACTGATCCAGAGCATATACAGCCTCCTGGAGAACCTGGCTGCAGCCCTGAGAGGTATTGCCACCTAGCTGGCACTGTAACTGAGTCTTCACAGAGCCGTTCCACTGTTCCATCCAACCAGCTGCCTCAGGATGGTGGAGAGCATGTTAAGACTAGTACATTCCATGAGTGTGGGCTCATTGTTGAACTTCTTTTGCTGTGAAGTTCTTTTTTTTTTTTTTTTAATGTGTGAAGTGAGTTCTTGGTCAAGCATTTCAGTGTGGAATACCATGGGAGTGGATAAGGTATTCTGCAAGTCCACTGATGGTAGTTCTTGCAGAAGCACTGTGTGCAGGGAAGGCAAATCTGTATCCAGAGTAAGTGTCTATTCTAGGAAGAACAAAATGGTCCTCCTTCCGTGATGGAAGTTGTCCAGTATAGTCAACAGGCCGGAAAGTAGCTAGCAGATCACCTCGGGGATGGTGCTGTATCGACGCCTCGGGGATGGTGCTGTATCGACGCCTCGGGGATGGTGCTGTATCGACGCCTCGGGGATGGTGCTGTATCGACGCCTCGGGGATGGTGCTGTATCGACGACTAGGTGTTGGCCTCTGCTGCTGGCAGGTTGGGCACTCAGCAGTGGCCACAGCCAGGTTGGCCTTGGGGAGTGGAAGTGCGTGTTGCTGAGCCTGTGCATTGCCTTCACCCCTGCCACCATGGCTGCTTCATTCATGAGCCAAGTGGGTGATGACTGGGCTGGCTGTGGAAAGAGACTGGCATCCACAGGATGGGTCATCCTTTCCGCTTCATTATTAAAATCTTCCTCTGCTGAGCTTACCCTTCGGTGAGCATTCACATGGGACACAAATACCTTCATGGTTTTTTGCCCATATATCTCTTCACCACATTTCCTCATCACCAATTTTCCAATCATGTACCTTCTGAGTCCCTAACCATCCAGCCAAACCACTGGACACATAAATCAGTATATAATCACGTGTCTGGCCATTTCTCCTTGCAAGCAAAGTGAACAGCCAGGTGCACTGAAGTTCTTCCCACACCACTGTCCTTCAGGGATGTCCCCAAAGGGCCTATGGTGCTACAGCTGTCCAGTTTTGGGTGGTGCCTGCATATTGTGCTTCTAGAACCATCTGTAAACCAGACCAGAGTCTTCTCTTTCTCTGTCAGCTGCCATGGAGAACTCCCCATGAGGCCATAGGTGCAGGATGGGAGAGAGAAGGGGCAGCAGGAGTGGGGACCATGGACCTTTGGGCCACATCTTCATGTAATTTACTTGTGCTTTCAGGGCCTGCTCAGGCCTCATCATGTATATGTCACTTCCATTTGATGATGGAGCGCTGCCATGCACTATGTGCCTTGGTGGGTCAGGTAACGCCCAGTTCATGGTGGGCAGTTCAGGTCACATGGTAACTTGGGAGTCCTTGGTCAAGCGTTCAGTCTCTGCTAAGGCCCAGTAGCAGGCCAAGAGCTGTTTCTCAAAAGGAGAGTAGTTATCTGGAGGGGATGGCAGGGCTTTGCTCCAAAATCCTAAGGGCCTGCACTGCAGTTCACCTATAGGGGGCTGTCAAATGCTCCAAACAGCATCGCATGTCAAGAAGGAATATCTTGACATGCCCCTTACCCCTGGACCCCTCGAAATTTCACTGAGGTGGAAGGTCCCTGAATTTTTGTTGGATTTATTTCCCACCTTCTGGCATGCAAATGTCTTACCAAATCTAGAGTAGTTGCTACTTCTTGCCCACTAGGTCTGATTAGATTAATGTCATCAATGCAGTGGACCATAGTGATAGCTTTGTGGGAGAGAAAGGTGATCAAGATTCCTGAGAACTAAATTATGACATTGGGCTGGAGAGTTGGTGTATCCCTGAGGTAGCATCGGAAAGGTCTGTTGTTGGCTTTGACAGCTGAAAGCAGACTGCTTGACAGGGTGGAGAAAAAGGCGTTTGCCAGATCAGTAGCTGCATGCGAGGTGCCAAGAGATGTGTTATTGGGTTGGCCAAAAGGTTCA